AGCAGTGCGCTACATCGATCAAGCCATCAGAGCCCCCGTCATACCACATTTCGCACGTCATCGAAACAACGTTTTCCAGCATGACAACGCACGTGTCCACACCGCCAAAGTTACTCGGGAAGTTCTACAGCAGCACGGTGTCAAAGTTATGCACTGGTCAGCCTTTAGTCCAGATTGAACATCTTTGGGATGGAATTCAAAGGAGACTTAATAACGTCGTACCCAGACCAAACACAGCCGATGGATTGCGCGAGGACTTTCTGAGAGTGTCAATCGTCTGGACCACTCCATGACGCTGCGCTGCTGTTATTGACACCAGATACTGATATATAGACTGTGTACAGACTCTAAACCTTCTCGTAATGTCTTTGAATTGTGATGAATTAATCATTAATGTGTTAACATATTATTCACAAATAATTGCTTTGATCCATTTAGTAAGTCGTTTTTCTAGAATGATTTGATTAAAGTGCCTCTCTGATTTTTAAATCGTATACTGACGTTTTTTTGTTTTTTATTTGCTGTTTAGTATACATAATATGTAGTATATTTCACTAAAAGATCCTTATGGTAGAATTCCCAACTTATGTAGCCATTTTCATGCAGGTTGTTCTTAATAACAGAATTTTCCTGTGATATAACAGATCAAAGAATTTGTAGACACGAATTAAAGATACATTATGTTAGATTTAGATAAAGAGCTAGCCTTTCTTGCTATAGTAGTATCAAAGAATTTGTAGACACGAATTAAAGATACATTATGTTAGATTTAGATAAAGAGCTAGCCTTTCTTGCTATAGTAGTTCGGAAATAGATAATGTAAAATATCATTCAAATTACTCTATTCTCCATTTTTAGCTTAAATTAAAATATGGCTGAACTGCTATAATCTATTTAATATCGGAGAAATCCGATGCCACCGAGAGTTGATTATGGTCTGGATAAGTTAATTAATGTCTAATTAATGATTTGCAAAGCATTTCCGGCTTAAAGAAAGATCTGCAATAGGCAGATTTAGCTCTTGCATAATGTATGTTTAATCACTAATGTGTCAACATACTATTCACACAAAAATGCTTTGATCCATTTAGTAAGTCAATTTTCTAGAATGATTTGATTAAATTGCCTCTCTGATTTTGAAATCGTACAGACGTTTTTTTTTTTTTTGTTTTGCTTTTTAGTATGCATAGTATGTATATAACACATCAATTCTATGTTAATATACCATGTCGATTCCGGGATATCATAATGTAAATTCTTATGAAAATAATTCACTAGAGCGTACGAGTCTCTAAAACTGAGAGGAAACCAGAGTACTATGAGAAGACGCACAAAGTCATGGCTGGTTGGTTAAAAAGTCGTAAATGATCTAGAAGGCATGCGTTAAAGCTCAGTACTATAATTAAATCTAAGAAATATATCACAATAAACGTATATTTTTTTAAAATTATTTAATACGATTATATAGACAATGTACGAACACTTGTAAAATGTACAGTATATTTCGACTGGAATTCTGTAATAATGTCAAAATGCTGCCCGATCTATGACCAATAGCTTTTTTATACGCCCACATTTTCATGTGGACGTATTATGCCGTCGCCCCTGTCCGTCCGTCCACAATTTGTTTGTGGACACTCTACAGGTCACAATTTTTATCCGATTTTGACGAAACTAACTTGAAATATAGGTTTATCTCCAAAAGATCTCGGCTGCTTTTGATATTGGCATGTATCGGATCGAAACTTCATGGATTATAGCCCCTGTTTGTACGAAAAATCACGTTTTTAGCTTGTGGGCCCTATAGAGGTCACAATTTTTATCCGATTTTGTTGAAACTTGAAATGTAAGTTTATAACCCAAAGATCTTGGTTCCTTTCGATATTCGCACATATCGGACCGTATCTTCCTGAATTATGGCCCCTGATTGTACGATAAATCGAGTTTTTAGCTTGTGGACCCTATAGAGGTCATAATTTTTATCCGATTTAAAAAAAAAACGTATTATTATATCACCGTTACACCCTAAGGGCGACTGAGTTCGAATTTCGTGAAAATCGGCCCAAAATTGACAGACAAAATGGCCGCTGTTCGTTCTCAAATAGCGTAAGAATATGGTATATCAAGGTTGTGGACCCTATAGAGGTCACAATTTTTATCCGATTTTGTTGAAACTTGAAATGTAAGTTTAAAACCCAAAGAATTCGGATCCTTTCGATATTAGCGCATATCGTACCGTAACTTCCTGAATTATGGCCCCTGATTGTACGAAAAATCGAGTTTTTAGCTTGTGGACCCTATAGAGGTCATAATTTTTATCCGATTTAAAAAACCGTATTATTATATCACCGTTACACCCTAAGGACGACTGAGTTCAAATTTCGTGAAAATCGGCCCAAAATTGACAGACAAAATGGCTGCCGTTCGTTCTCAAATAGCGTAAAAATATGGTATATCAAGGTTGTGGACCCTATAGAGGTCACAATTTTTATCCGATTTTGTTGAAACTTGAAATGTAAGTTTATAACACAAAGATCTCAGTTCCTTTCGATATTTGCGCATATCGAATTGTAATTTCCTGAATTATGGCCCTTGATTGTAGGAAAAATCACTTTCTTGTTAGCTTGTTCTCTATCCATCTCTCGAAAATGTGAGCGTACCCTGCCTGGCAGCCGCTGGTTTAAAAATATAAATACGAATTTCGCTTCCAGGAATTTGAAAGAAAGCACTGATATTTGACGACACGTGGCTTAAAGTAACCCTTCCGATATATTGGTGACATTGCCCCTATCAATGAACTGTCAAGAAATGTAGACATTAAATTTACCACCCGACACTCGACCTGGTCCTCAATAAAGAAAATACTGGTAACATGTCCGCCTCTGTTCTGGTCTTAAATATTAAGAATTTTAATGTCGAGATTATCGTCAATCTGGACAGACTTGGCAGGCCCGTAGCTGGCCAAAAATGAGGATGGGGCGCCGATATACCTACGGTACCGTGGACGCGCCTCCAAAGAAGGGTCTAGAGTGCTAGACTTTTTGCCCGAGGAGAGGAACTATGAAAATAGCGGAAAATTTTAATTTTGAGGCTGAATTTGCAATTTTGGCGTATTATGATATTTTGATAGAACATTATAAAAATTTGAAGGAAGAAATACGACTTTAGCGTACCTATAATAATTTATGAGAAAAAGTTCAAATTTCCTACAATCCCTAGCTGGCTTTTTTATGGAAGATTTCTTCGGGCGTCGGTATGAGTGCGGTTTCTTGGTTGGGCGCCTGTGATATCGTCGTGGACGGCCCACCAATCTCGACACTATGCCCCCCCCCCCCGGGCATTATTGACGTCAATCCGGGATGAGGCACCCCACCAATCATGCCGTTTTGGGCGCCCACGACTTAATCAACCAATCTCGCTCGGCATTATGAATTATGTGTGGCTTGAGGAGTTGGAAATTGTTGATAATCCATAAGATACTTGCAGTTAGATCAGAATTTTCACATGAGTCCTTCACTGAAAATCCCAACGTGACACACTAATCAAATGCGGGATTGTTCCATTGATGAATCCGTGACCCCGGGTGGCGAAGGGTTTTACACAGGTTAAGTATGTTTCCCAAGCTCGGTTTAAAAACCCCGAATAACATATTGTTCGTCAAAATAGCCTAGGTAGTAGAACTTTCTTCGACTCGTAAATTTGAAATTTTTTATATAACAACACTTACAAACGTTACAAATTTCCATAGGTGGTATGTTTATTTTTGTGGGGGTCGTGGTGGTGGAGTGGTCAGGGATTGCGCCAGAAATAATGGATTGTACATACAGCTTATATGCCCGGCCTATCTTCATTAAACGTTAAAGACTTCGTTCAGAATAAAGTAATTTGACTGTAATCTTCAATATAATTAATATTTTCATTATCATCTATTATATCTACAACATTATTGATTTTTAGACTTCCCCATGTTTTTCCTAATGAAAATAATAATAGTTCATAGAATTAAAATATTTAATAGTAGTAGTGATAATAATCAAACGCATAGACAACAAGGCACACAAACTATCACTGTGGAGCAAATTGAAACTTATTCATGTTTTTCCTAATGAAAATAATAATAATCCATAGAATTAAAATATTTAATAGTAGTAGTGATAATAATCAAACGCATAGACAACAAGGCACACAAACTATCACTGTGGAGCAAATTGAAACTTATTCAGATTGGGTTTTCTATTCTTCCTTAGCATTGTCCCATAAATTTTCGTTGGTTTGAGAATCGTCTGTTTCAAATTAACATTGACTTATGTAATTTTTAAAACTGACCGAAAAAATAAGGCCCTTTCCATTTATTGTAACTATCAAACATAATTATATTTCATGGGTAAATGAAGGGCCATCTAAAATAATTTCGAAAAATAATTGGTATAGAACTGGCATAATGTCCCTTGCGTTTTTTCGAAGAAAATTATCTCTTTGTACCCCAGATCAAAAATGTGGATATTGCGTTATGAGAATGAGTTCTTCATACCAATTTTCATTTACAATAAAACTATTGTTTACGAAAAACGTTCGTTTAATATTATTTATCCACGGATGTCCTGTCCTGAAAGCTTTCAACTGATATTCATGCACATAGTGCACACTACTTCGTGGTTAAACAGATTGTAACTGGATTAACTATAGGGGTTTAACGTGAGCCAGGAATGTAAATATTTAATCTCCTCAACACTCTCCATCTCTATTGAAACACTGGTTGTCGTCACTTTGACAGATGGAATGTAAATAACAATAGCCAATAAAACGACAAAAAATCCATTGATAACAAACCCTGAATACACTGCGATCATACGATACTAGTACTCCAGATTTTCCATCTCTTCCCCAATACGTTACAATTAATCGTATATCACTATGGTTCCAAACTTGATATAACTCTATTCATGTGACAGTCTCCAGTGCGCATCAGACATCACCATATCGGAACTAAGAGTTGATACTAAACAGGCATAAACAACCAGACATGTCGTGTATGTTGATTACAATTTCAATGGATGATTTCCAAAATGTTCACCAGTTTTACACAGTGTTGCATGATATATATTAGACAGTGCCATGTTGCGTCTGGAAAAACTTGATGGACAGGAAGAGCACAAACTCATTTGAAATTTGGGGTGACTCATAGCATACAGGATTGGATTAACGGCTGTGGAAGTCTTCGCTAAAACGCCCGGTAAAATCGAAGTTAAAGGTGTTACCAAGGCTGTGTTCCCAAAGGCTCCTATTAAGGCAATTACTGAGAATGGTAACCACGATAAACAAAAACTGCTAATAACGATTAAAACGAGTCTCGTTACTTTGAGTTCTAATTTCAGTTTCTTCCTCGATGCTCGATCAGCTTTCATAAAATGGCTGCTAATAAACATTCTCTCGTGTCGACAAATAAACACCAGCATGCTGCTATAACAGTACATGATAATAATGAACTGTATAACGAAACAAAATATGAACAAACAAATAATAAAAGCGATGTTGGCCGTATCACGTGACAAGTAATCGAAACAGCACGAATTTCGTCCACCCGAGAGAACGTAGCGCCCCCATCCTAGAACGGGAATGAATGCCCAGATTACTGAGTAGATCCAGATAGCTGCGATGATAAGAGAGTGTGATCCTTTGGACGCGTGGGTATTTAGACAGTTATTACGGTAGATAACTTGGTACCGATCTACGGCCATGGCTGTTAATGTATTCATTGATACTAATCCTGTTATAGAGCCTATAACACCATACACTTGACACCCTGTAAATATACAAAACAAAATGACATAAATGAATTCACGCTAATCATCGCTTACTGCAGCTTCTAAATTACCCATCAATGTTTCATTTCAGATAATGATCAATCTTTATTATATACTCTTCAAAAAAAGTAGGGGATATTCTAAATTACCCATCAATGTTTCATTTTAGAGAGATGTTCAAAATCTTTTAAAAGAACAATATTTTTATTATTTTTTTGGTATCAAGAGAACTGAAATAAAATGAAATGGGATTTAACGTCCTACTGTTCTGCTCCTTTTGGGCCAATGAAGACGGGCATACACCATACAGTGAGCTATGAGAGAAATCTTGCCCGGATAGAAATCTTGCCCGTACGGGACCCCGATGTTTCGTCCCATCCGAACGACTCTACGTTGTCCCTTGCAACCCCCCCCCCCCCTCACCACCACCACCATCACCATTACTAACAAAGGGGAACCACGCCGGAAAATCCTGATGAACTTTATCGGCCAATGCAGGGATCGAAAACGCGAACTCCAGGTTATCGAGCCAACGTCCTACCCTCTGAGCCACCGTGACCCCAGGTATAACGAGGGCTGTATATAAAAGAATAATATTTGAATTTAAAACATGTACTTTTTTTCAATTACAATCATCAAATAAATAATGTAAATGCGAAATATCGTATTTATATTAGAAATTTAAGCACCCCGATGGCAAATTGTAAATTTGGACGGTCAGTTATATTCGGACGGAAACTTCTAACTATAACCTCGATATATTCTTATATTTACTGCACATTGCGCAAATATACTCTTAAAAAAAGTAGGTGATACTGAAATGCAAATACCTATGCAGGTTGTGATATAATAAATAGTCATGTACACTTGACATGCTTTGAGAGTATGTTCACAGATGAAGAACTTATCGCCCCAACAGAACCACTGAGCTGCATGTGCGACACGCAAATGCGCCATACACGTGGGAGGGGTTCATTGTCAAATTTGACTTTCAAGGAAAGGTTGATGAAAACTGCCGCTTGCTGGTTTATCCTATCCATGTTTGCTTTCCTATCGGTTCTTGCATAAGATTTACTGTTTAGCGTATCTTTGCTTTAGTGTGTTACGTTTAATTGTATCGGGAGACGTGTTCGTCGACGTCAACGGACAACACTGCAAGAATTGGCCGTGGTATTTGTTGAGTAATAAAACCTTCTAGTAGTTTATCGAGGGCTGGCCGTCCTTACCGCACGGTACAAATAAAACCTTCTAGTAGTTTATCGAGGTTCGGGTGCTTCCGGAGTCCAAAATGGCCGCTTTATATAAATGAGAATTTTGGGGATAACTAACCCGAACCCTTTTTAAAAGACTGAACTTGGGTCTAATTTAGTTTTTACTTCTCTTAAAAGGGTTCGGGTTAGTATTCCCCTAAATACTCATTTGTATAAAGCGGCCATTTTGGTATGAGTTCTGGCTTGTTTTGGAATTTGTTGCTTCTAGTGGTGATAATATTTGTACCGTGTGGTAAGGACGGCCAGCCCTCGATAAACTACTAAAAGGTTTTATTACTCAACAAATACCTTCTCGAAGTATGTAATAAAATCTAATCGGGTGTTTAAACGGCTGTTAACGTCCTTTATGTATTTGTATCACACGAATGTGGTAAAGTTTGGGAATTTCAGACTATTCAATAATGACTAGATGTTTTAAAACTCACACTTGTTGCTTTAGGAACATGGGCATACTCAAATTGTCCTCCTTTTTAGACGAATAACCAATCACAAGTTCTAGGATTCCAGAAACCGTAACACTTGCAGTCTTGTTTTATCGAGCTTGGCTCACTGAGGTTGTCCGTTTTATATCTTTAGACGAATAACCAATCACAATTTCTAGGATTCCAGAAATTTCAACACTAGATATTTGACCGGATTATACAAAGCAAAACCCTTTAAAATATTAATAGAATAGAAACTAATGCCATTTTCGTGTTTATATATCGTCTAACACGTTATATAGGGTGTTAAAGTTTATCGGACAATGAATAACATAATAAATATTATAAATCCTGCCCAGTATGTCAATAGTCACGGCAAGTGTAAATACACAGAGCTCTATACAGATTATAAAATAAAGTCATCAAACAGGTAGTTAAAATTGATTGTTTTACAACTGGGCTTCCGGCTGTTTTATACAGACTTGTATGCTTTCAGCATGAAAGTTGCTGATCGCCAATTGTAATTTTTGAACAATTTCGAATTTTTCACGGCTTAATCCAAGTTGAAATGAACTCAAATTTTCAGTTCAACTCTACTTTGCAAACAATGAACGGTCTTTCCTTTTAGCGATTCAAGTGACGTTCAGAGATTTTAAGGGATAGGGAGATGGGTAAGGGTTTCACAATGCAATATATGCACTTAAAACGCTAACTCAATATTATCTAGAGTCTTCGACATCAGAAACACAAAATATTGTTTCATTCCAGTCAATAGTGATACAACGGCTCATGAGTATACTCTATGTTTTCGAGTGCCATTTTAATGAGGCGCCTATATAAATTTCCACCGCTCATGTATTTCGACAAACAAAATTGATTAGATAAAACTTGTAAAAATGAATGTAAATCAGTTTATGTACACTCATGTTACATTCATTTTATATATGTGTTTTTGTTCCATTTTCGTCTACGCTAGTTCCAAAGAATACAGCTAATCTAAATAGGGAACAAGGGCAGTTCATTAAGATAATAGCTCTATATCTTATCATGTCTGGTTGATATCCGACCGGGGAGCCATGGTGGCCCAGTGAGTAGGACGTTGGCTCGCAAACCTGAATGTCCCGTGTTCGATACCTGCGTTGGTCGAGAAAGTTCATTGGGAATTTCTGGCTTCCTTGCCAGTGGTGCAGGACAGAAGGCCTGTCAGGAGACAACGTGTAGTCGTTTGGTTGGGACGAAAATCCGAGGTCCAGTGTATACATTTGGCATGCACGTAAAAGATAACTTGGCAGTTGGCCCAAATTTCCCTCATAGCACACTGTCTGGCGTATGTCCGTCTTAATTAGCCCGGTCGGAATAGAACGTTAAACTCCATTTAATTTCGATACCCGCCCCCAAACGAATTCAAAACAATATTATCCACGCCTATTTATTAAAATGGGTTAATAGTGTATACATAAGCATAAGACCATATACTTACATATATTATTTAAAGGCCAGGAACCATTTAGACATGCCCATATCAACATGGGGAAGTTAACAAGGCACATGATTAGCTCCGTACTGGCTAAATTTACTACATACATGTTAGCTGCTGTCTGTAACTTCTTATCTCTGAAAGTAAAACAAAACTATATTTAAATATTTATTCAAATACTTTAAGGGGCACAGGGTAAGTTTATATAAAAAGCTGAAAGTTTTCGCTATAATAGGTAAAAAATAGACAATGAAATCAGAATATGTTAAAATTTTCAGTCAAATTGCTTCACTCTGAGACGAGATATTAGCGATTCAATTTTAGGCTACTTTCGATCGTCATTACTAACGTTGGTACGATAATAAAGTCTCGATTATCCATTTTTATGTTAAATTATCCATCACAACATGTATTTAAATCCACTAAATATCGGAGACATTCATTAACTTATCCAGACTATAATCAACTCCTGATGTCATCGCTAGCCTGTGATGTTTATTGGATTATGTTCGGATTTGCTGTCCGACTTCCATTCATAATTTAATCATGAAATGGATAATCAAGACTATGATTTTATCGTACCGACTTTAGTAATGATGACCGAAAAATCAATCGCTAAATTCTCGGTTTAGAGTGAATCAATCTTTAGCAAATTTCCTTTACATTATGTAGTTTTTAACTATTATAGTAAGAACTGTCAGTTCTTTATCTATTACGCATAATGTATCTTTAATTAATAATTTAGATAACATTTCAGGTCTAAATAGGCAGATTTAGCTCTTGCATAATGCATGTTTAATATATATTCAAGTAGGGTTAAATCCAAAGAAAGACCTGAAATAGGCATCGAGTGTTGATTATGGTCTGGATAAGTTTATTAATATCTAATGAATAATTCAGATAACATTTCGGGCATAAACAAGGAACTGCAATAGGCAGATTTACCACTTGCATAATGGATGTTTAAAACTAAATATTCCATAAAATGCTAAATTTTTTATTCACTTAAAGCTTTTAGAATGCATTATGTACGCTTTAAATAAAGAGTTGCGTGTTCTTGTTTAATAGTTTGAAAATAGATAAAGACTAAAGAATATATTGACAATTTCAGACAGATATTTTATTCTGAGCAAAGTTATGATCAGCAACAGTAATAATAGTATCGATTGTCAAGAGACATTGCTACATTTTAAAATAAACAAAGTATCGATTATGCATTTTTACGTTAATTTATTTAATCGCGCAGTTGATCAAATCTATTCAAAACTTTGTTAATCCAATGCTCTATTGAGTTATTTATCGGCTTAACAAGTGAATAAATCTCTAATCCATATTTTATATAAAATTTGAAACCAAAAAAGCATCACGCAGTTGGCAGAACTAGCTCATACATAATTGAGATTTTGGCTCCGCAAGCTACTCTGAAGACACAGAAATGAAATGGGGTTTAACGGTCTACTTTTCTGCACCGAGTGGGGTTCTTAAAGAGTGAAAGATGGAGTGTTTGGACTTTGAATGTGTTGATCTGGTAAACAGTGTGCGTGGAGATGACAAGACGAAAGGCCTAATTGTGTTTAAATGCTTTTAGAGTATGTTCACAGATGAAGAATGTATCGCCCCAACAGAACCACTGGGCTGCATGTGCGACACGCAATAGCGCCATACACGTGGGAGGGGTCCATTGTCAAATTTGACACTTCTATAAAGAATTATCCATATGTACAGGGATTACAATTAGCTAATTCATCTGGATAATCAGTATTTGATGTAGATTTGTTAAAAGGAACAGACTATTACTGGAATTTTGTTGTTGGTGATATAAGACGGGGGAGCATCCAGGACCTGTGGCAATGTTGAAAATATTAGGATAGGTTCTCCCATGGTCCAGTTGTTAAAGACAAGTCTAATAATTGTGCCAGCACAAACAGTTCAGTATGTTTAGTAGATACTCATGTATTGCATGTTGGTGTAGAACAAAAAAATGTCTTGGTAATGCTCACTTAACTTACGAGGAATTGATGACCTTATTAATTGACATTAAAGGTGTTTTGAATTCACGCCCTTTAACGTACGTTAGTGATGAACAAATAGAATCCTTTACACCCTCCCAATTTGATTATCGGAAGAAGAGTATTATCAACACCGTCTTGCGACATTGATAGTGTCAAGCCACAAACCAAGGCATCTGAGTGCCAGAAACGACAGCGACATATGAAAAATGTAATTTTGTATTCTAGTATAATCTGGCCATATTATATTGCAAGTTGCATGAAAAATATTAGTCACATTTGAATGATGGCTAAGCAAGAATGTTGACGTGTCGTACTAAATTGGCATCAATTTGTTTAGCCCTGTCAATGTTGACATGTCTTTTGCAGTGGGGGAAATGTAGCCAAATAAGGCAAGCATATATTATTGTGCTTGTGTAATGTAATGCATCGACAAGCGTTATTGCCACAGATGTTGAATGTAAGCTCATTTGAGCTAACATAAGCTAGTTGAATGAGGTTTAAAGCTCTGTGTTAGAAACGTGGTACATACATTAAGATATAATACTTCATTATGCAAAGTAAAAGCAATGTATTGCATGAGCTTCTGTGATATCTTTATTGAATAATAGTACACATATTATTATGTGAAATAATAACACAATAACATGACGTAGCCGATATTAAAATCATTAAAAACATAAAATACAACATGACATCCAAATTCAATCACAGAATACATAATATTCGAATATCATAGAATACAAACAACTCTTACCAATAAATATTATTCATGGGTAAAGCCAAACAATACCGACATAATATAATTACAAACTGACACAGAAGAAACATCTTTAAATATTTTAAAGTACAGCTCAAGTTTAAACAATTATTACAAATAAATATTATGCAAGAGTAATATCAAACAATGCCGACATAATATTAGCCACGAATTAAGAAACTGGTATGCATAATTAAGTTGTAGACCAAGTGGAATTCTTAAACAGAAAAGCAGCTCAATAAAACGACAGTTACTGCCTGATTTCAGAAATTGTTGTAACAATTTGAAATTTAGAAAGAGTTGATATATATATTCTTCGTTATGCCCGCCAGTACTGCGATCTTTGATTCTAACTGGGAAAGAGAGAAATGGGGTGTTACCTCAGCTCGACACAATACGGAAATAAACGGTACAAGACCTTTTTCAATAACACGTTTGTACGTTGGGGTCTTTAGTTGTGCGAGGAACCCGAATAAAACATTCGAGGTTCAACAGGCGACCATGGTTCTTAATTTATCAGCTACAAGACTGGGAACAAGACTTACACGACTTGACTCGCTGACGGACCTTATGACCTAAATTGCACACATACGACCACCGAGCCGATTTGAACTGAGACATGTACAATACATTATTGTCATAATATGTGGCACCCGGTGAAGCTGATCAATTCAGGTTAATATGGGTATTTTTTTTAACCAATTAAAGGGCAAAATCCCAAATTGTTCTGTTTTTATACGCCCACATTTTCATGTGGACGTATATTGAAGTGGCCACTGTTCGTTCGTCCATAATTTGTTTGTAGACACTCTACGGGTCCCAATTGTTATCCGATTTTGACGAAACTTGACTTTGTGGGACACCGTAACTCTCTTCCTAATTGAGCTAGAATTTTCAAACTTGGTGTAGGTGTTTATTAGGTCAATGCCTTGATGGAGTTCGAAGATGAGCATTTTCTGCTTAGGGTAAGCAGAGATAAGGACTTTGATTGGTTGATGCTTTGGGTTACGATAACTTTAGTTCTAATTAAGTGAAAGTGATAAAACTTGGTGTATAGTTTCATTACACCAATACCTTGACTAAGTTCAATGATGAGCATTTTCTGCTCAGGGTAAGCATATAACACTATAGAGTTATTTTAGCATTACTCTGCTACTTTCTTGGTCTAACTCACAGACACTTATGTCAATACTATTTCTGGAAAGTAGGGTACTATATGAAACACTTACCCCAAAATGGTAATTGTCACGCCCTAATAGCTGCTGCGGGTTTGATTTACACTCAGACAATCATTCGGAGCTCAAGGGGAACATACCTATAGTCTCCTCGGCTTAGAGGCTAGGGCGAACACATCATCCTAGCGCGAACGTTCTGTAGAACTATCAAGAAGTATGTGGCTTTTGCCACGTTTAAGCCGTTAGGTCTGAGTTAGAAAGGATATTAAACTCAGACCGTGGATAATTTAATAACTCAAAAAGTAACTATCATAGATATTGTAGTTTCGTGTATGTAACCTTTGTAGTTTGCTGTATTCGTTAGATAAACTTAGTAACAACATAAACGGGGTTCCAGAGTCAATTAATTAATGATTGAAATAATTCATCCAACAACGTGAAGTCCAAGCAGGTCCTAGACGATGATCTGTCCCCATAGTGTCACATCTAATTCCTTTTTGGTACCGCGACATAGGATAGTGTCACAGCTAATTCCTGTTTGGTACCGCGACACAGGATAGTGTCACAAGCAGAGCAATAAGCAATTTGATTGGCCGAGATTTTGGAACACAATAACTCTCATTTTAATTGAATTAGAATGTTCAAACTTGGTGTAGGTGTTTATTGAGTCAATGCCTTGAAGTTCGAAAATGAGCATTTTCTGCTTAGGATAAGCATTTTGATTGGTTGATGCTTTGGAAAACGATAACTTTAGTTCTTATTAAGTGAGAGTGATGAAACTTGGTGTATAGTTTCATCACATCAATACCTTGACTAAGTTTGATAATGAACATTTTCTGCTGAGGGTAAGCAGAGCAATAAGCAATTTGATTGGTCGAGACTTTGAAACACAATAACTCTGCTTCTAATTGAGGTATAATGTTCAAACTGGGTGTAGGCGTTCATTAGGTGAATGCCTTGGTGGAGATTGACGATGAACATTGTCTGCTTACGGTAAGCAGAGATAAGCAATCTGATTGGTTGATGCTTTGGGGCACGATAACGTTGGTTATAATTAAGTGAGAGCGATGAAACTGAGAAGAGTATAGATTCATTATATCATTACCTTGACTTAAGTTCGACGATGAGAATTTTCTGCTTAGGCTAACGAGCGATAAGCAATTTG